TCAACTAAGTGCACCAACAACGTATGCTAAACAAGATATATACTTAAGGAAACTAGAAGTAAAAAACAATATCACAAGATATGGAAATGTAGGAGCAACTAAGCAATTCAAACTAGTAAAAAAAATATCAGTATGAGCAAGGATGAATTGTGGAAAGTAAAGGGTGTGGGAATAACCACAGGTGAGTCGGGGACGTAAATTTATCCCAAAGTTCACACTTGTGAAAGTGTTAATCTCCAAGGCAGCGGTGCTAAGGCCAAACCTCCAAAATGCCACCAAGGGGCTCACCGTATTTCCCTTTCAAGTCACCCCCACGGACAAGCCTCGATTCACTTGTGGTTGGTATTGAAGGCGACCACCACACCTTTATAAGTTTCTCCGGAACACACCATAGGCAAGGAAGCTTCCAGATGTACCTTGAACACCTAGGCTACCTCATACCCTTACCTGGAGCATGCCACAAAAGGAAGTTTCAGTGGAACCTCGATCACCTAGGCCTCTTCACAAACTTCTCAAAGATATCACTAACCATCTAGGAGGCGAAAGCCTCAATGTAATAAGCTCACGGCCTCTGACTCAAACAAATCGATGCGGGGAGCTCAAACTAATGCAACATATGCAAAGCAAGGTCAAGCGACAAATTCCCAACTCACTCTCTCAATCTCACAAGATGCAACTCAAGAAAGTAGGAGATTGAAGAGACAGGATACAACGGAGGAGATCAACAAATAACTCAAAGATCCATACACAAATCCCTCTTCACATAGAGGGAGATAGGGGTTTGGGAGAGGTGGTTTGTGGCTCAAAGTAATAAACTCACGGTCTCTCACTCGAACAAATTGATGAAGGGAAGAAGGGACCTTTTATGTCCAACCCCTAAAACTACCCACTGGGGCTCCAACAGACACTTCCTGGACACCCGCTAGCCACTAGGATCAAGACCTCGTGCCCATGGGGTCCACGTGCCGACGGCCTCAAAACCCCGTGCCCACGGGGTACCCAGAAATAGCTCAAAGCAAGAAACTTAAACATGCATAACTGTGGCATACAAACTCCAGTTTCGATGATCTTGGGCTCATTTTAAAGTTATGGACAAGCTCAAGGTCCTCACATAGAGAACCACCCAAGATAAACAAGAAATTATGATGCAAACATGCAAAGGTTTGAGATCTCTACATGCGACGTATTGAAACTACTCGCCCGAAAGTCCCTCTTGATAGTACAACTATCAAACCTATAATCTCGTCTCCCATGAAGCACCATGAGACCGCTAAAACTAGGAAAACCTAGCTAAGTTATTCATTTGCCTCGCATATTCCACTTCAGCTTGATTATGACTTTAATGCTTGCTTCAAGTTGGACACCTTTTCTTGACCACGAACACTTGGTAAAGATATACAAATTTCTTGCCCATAATTGCAATGAGGGAAGCCTTCACTTAAGAACATCTTCACATGTACAAAAGCACAATGTGGACCACAAGCTTCAAAGAATATAACCTTTGGCTTCTCATCTTACACTTGGGACTTCTCAAACTCGACTACCATCACCATTTGATGTCATCCTCACATAGGCTACTCGAAATCTTTATTTTGATGCAAGACCATGACAATTACCTAGCCGACAAAGACATATCAAACACATAGCACGGGTTAGTGCACAAAATGCAATTCACAATTACTTACTAAACCACTAGCTATATCACATGATCGCATGTGGTATATTGTTTGTGCCTGTGTGTTGATCATCTAGATATAATCTTTGAGCTTCATCTTGGTCAACCATCATCTTTACTTCATGGTTCATAATGGTTTCTTCAAATCCATAATGAACTCTTCCTTTTACGTCATTGCCTCAAGACTAGATCAACAATGACTCTTTCATGGCCATATCAAGATTCACCGTGAACATCATATTGGTCATCACTTGCTCGTTTAAATGCCCATCACAAACTCTTGAGAAGCACAATGAATTCTTCACTCTATTATTCTTCACTCTATTTTCTTGCTTCAAAACATGATCAATCAACACTCAAGACATGAGCTCATCATGATCTTCTTTTTATCATACCATAGCTTGAATTCTTCTCTTTAATTATACTCTCAAGACCTTGAATTTTATAAGCCCAAATGTGCAACCTTTGAGATCCTCCAGTGAACTCCACCTCAAACATATTTGGGTAGACACTGAAATCAATCTTGATGGCTCCATTAGATACATCCAAAAACAAACTAGCATCCTCACAGTAGGCAAGAGACCCTGAGAGTCAAACCCTAGGCCTCGTGTGCAAAGGGTCAGAGACCCCGTGCGCACGAGGTATCTAGAGATTGTAACACTCGACCCCATGTGCACGGGGAACAGGAAGCCCATGCGCACGGGGTGTCCAAAGAGAATACCATGAGGAATTCTATGAGACGCTTTCGAGGAACTCTTCCCAAATAATTCCGACAAGCTTCATACATCACTGTGGAACATTTCTTCATATAATATACAATGCCCTTGATGCTACATAGGAATTGTCATTCAATACCAAAGCTTAGAGAAAATCTGCGTCCTTAATTATTTTAATCATCCTTAAGGCACCATTTATGTTGTATTCTTTCGAATATATCTCAGTAAAAGTATTAGACCATAGAGATGGTCATCATTTACCAAAACGGCACATAGGGACTACATGCCCTTTCTCTAGGTGTCATATCCTCGTCACCGAGCATCACCGCTATACTGAGCAATGAGAGCCCATTGCCTCGGTAGATCCACAGTCCCTAGCGTGCAAAAAAGTGAAGTCGCCACTGGGGTGTAGCGAGATGATAAACCGGTTGTCTGGATTGATGAAAAATTTGTCCCTCTACTAAGTTTCCTAGCAAAATTGAAGTGATTCGTTATGTCATCGGTATTCGTATTCCTCTGGTTGATGTAGCGGGCAAGGAGTCTAGCAGTGCCCCTCCTCCATCAGTTCCCTACTCTGGCTCAAGCACCACAGAGATATTCGACATTCATATCGACGCCCCGCCCACAAGATCCTCCTGCTGCCCTACAAGACTGCCCTTGCTCAACACATGCATAAGCATGCGGCACCAAGCTACTTCAGGTGGGTAGGAGCCTTATCAGCGCCCCATTGATCACGCCTATCGCCAACAGACAACATCAGATGAGTGTGCACTGAGATTGGAACGATACTAAGATGAAAATCGAATAGAGAATTCTCGAAAACAGGATCAATTTCCCGACCTAGGGCGTGCAATTTATAAAGGTCACCCAGGGGTTCTTTCCTTCACGTCGTCAGTATTTAGAGGGAGACCTAGTAAAGGAGGACGGATCGTAGACGTTGCACACTCGGAGACACAGATTGTTTGAAGACTCTTGACACTCGTGTGCATGATTAGAAAGGCTTGACATGATCACCCGTGTTTCGCGTAAACCCTAACCCTAGCGCGTAGCCAGATGATGTTGTTTCCAATCGAAGTACTTTGCCGATCCAATTACCAGAAGATCGGTTGAGACGTTGCTTTCCTTGGCGTCCACCCCATACAAGATCCAACCAAAAACACTTTTACACATGCAGTGCAGTACTGTACTCCTTAGCTATCATCTCAAGTGATTTGTAAAGCCATAAACACGTACGTACTCCATTGGGAAGCGCGGATCGCTCATTGACTGAAGAAAGCTAGCTACACACCGCAGTCACCGAAAGTAAAGAACAGAGAGCAGATCGCAGAGACTCGACCCGCAAAAAAAGAAAGAGAAAAGAGAGCAGAGCCATAAGCACAACTGCACAAGCACGAGGACGAGCACCACCTCCGGCGCTGCTGCGTCGGCTTCGTTGCATGGCTCGTCGTCTACCTGGCGCCCCGCCCCACCAAGCCTTGATGAGACCAAACGTGGTTACAATAAAAACTGAAAAATAGAAATGCAACAAACTACCATCTGGCTTTGGCTGCTCTTAACAAAAAATAAAAACCTTTACAATGGGGTCAGAAATAATTCAGAACCTGATTACAAACACAGCCTGGGATTCGATGCCGGCGGCTGTGAGCATGTGCCAAGCGAAGCTAAAGAAGGAAAAGGGCTCAATGGTTGGTGGTATATGCATATCCATCAGCTACGGATGCTGCCTACCCTTAGCTAGAAAGGTCCGCGAAATATCCGTATATGCAAAAAGTTTCACCTAAATCCATATATTTGCGTTGCGTGCTCAGTGGTAGTCGGTGACTCTCGCATGGAAACGCTCAGGTTAAATATGAAGCAAATCGCGCTGGAGAGAGGAGAGGGGACATCGACTCGGGAGTTGGGGAGCGGCGGTGCGTGTAGGGCACCCTGTCCACAAACGCGCACTTGATTGCAGCTATGCATGATTCCATATGATGCGCCGCACGCCCTGGGTGTCCTACATTCACGCCCATCGGCGCCGATAGACAACAACAACCGAGCAGCAGCGACCCATAACTTAGCCTTTTTCTGCTAACAGTGTCATTCATTTCACTACTGTATTTTTGTTTTGACAATGACAATCTCTCCATCTCAGCTAAAATATTTGGCGGGAATCGGTGAGATCTGCCACCATAAGTCTAGTACTATATGAGCTGCGCTCACTGCTTCCTTACGCCTCCGTAAATATAGATTGATGTCAACATAGCCCGATAAGGCTATAGAACGGTGGTACATATGGCCTTGTCGTTGTTAACGAGTGTTTGATCGATTGGGACTCACTTCATGATCACCAAGCTGCATCAAACAGCAGAATAAAGGAAGAATCTCAAAGCGCACGCGCATGCAGGACCAACCGCCCAAGTTACTTGCCAATCGAATTGGCAGAAGAATCTTCTTCGGTTGAGACGTTTTTTTTTTTGAGGAAAATTCTTCGGTTGAGACGTTGCTTTCTGGCCTCCACCCCCATCTTCCTACTTTTAAAGCCATTAACACCCACTGAAGAGAGTAGCTAGCGCGCCACTGCACGCACACCTACCAGTCACACAGAGCAGAGTACAGAGAGCAGAGCCATGAACAAGGAGAAGCATCACAGGAACGAGCACCTCCTCCGGCGCTGCTGCGGCGGCTTCGCGGCGTGCCTCCTGGCGCTGGTCGTCGTCGTCGCATTCATCGCGCTCGTCGTCTACCTTGCGCTCCGCCCGACCAAGCCTTCCTTCTACTTGCAGGACCTGCAGCTCCACTCCATCAACCTCGGGGACCCCTCCCTTTCTGCCACCGCGCAGGTCACGCTCGCCTCCCGCAACCCCAATGACCGCGTCGGCATCTTCTACAGGCGCCTCGACGTCTTCGTCACCTACCGCGACGAGCCCGTCACCGTGCCGATCTCCCTGCCGCCCATGTACCAGGGCCACCGGGACGTCACCATTTGGTCCCCCGTGCTGTCCGGGGAGTCCGTGCCCGTGGCCGGATACGTCGCCGAGGCAATGAAGCAGGACATCGCCTCCGGGTACGTGTCGCTGCAGGTCAAGATCGACGGCCGCGTCAAGTGGAAGGTCGGGACCTGGGTCTCCGGCAGCTACCACCTCTTCGTCAGCTGCCCCGCCATGCTCGCCGCCGGCCCCGGCGGCATGCCGCTCGGGGGTGGCCCCAACGGCACCGGGGGCGCCGTCGCGTCACTGAAATTCACGCAGCCGACAGGGTGCACCGTCGGGACGTGATAGAATGGACTTGTGCATACGGTCGCACGTCCGTACTGTGAGTGGACGAAACTACGTACGTAGCAGGCTAGTTCTTCACTCCGTGTCTCTACATAACTTATGTTTATATTCTACTAGTAAATTGTCTACAGCTTCTAATTTTTGTATGTCTCGTGTAACGGGAGAATAAACTGTGTTGATGTATGTACCTCATTCAGTTTTGGAATTCATGGTTGCAATTCCTATCTTGTATAAGTACAAACATGTACATGTGTGTTTTTAGATTTGTAAGACCAACTCCAACCCGCGACTCCATCCTGTCCGTGTCGGCCCAACGAGCGACCCCATCCCCATTTTCTGTCTGTTTCACATTCAGCCCGCCTCATTTCCGGCTCAAACATGCGCCGTCTTTGCATCCACACAGATGATGAACGGACGCCTACGCGCCCGCTCTGCGTTCGCCTCGGACCCGCGTGGCAGTCGCCCACACTTACGGCGCACGCGCGGGTGGCCCCACCTAGCAGTGACCCCGGCCGAGCGGTCGGCGTCCTTTTTAATGTGGAAGCCGTGGACCGGTGGGAGTCCACACTTCCACTTCCCCACTCCGGCGACGGATGCCTCCTCGAAGCGACGAAGCCCGACAACCAAACCCTAGCCCGCCTCTCCTCTACCTCCTCGCCGGCGACAATGGTGGGCCGCTGGTTCCTCGACCGCAAGACGGGGCACGACCATGAGGCCGGGTCGTCGTCCGGCCGCCGTCGCCGCTCCACTACTCCGCCTCCACCACCAGCATTCCATATCTTGCCAGACGGCACCCCGCCTTGTCAGTGGCCGTACGTCAAGGCCGAGATCTGCAAGAGGTACTCGGAGACGCGCACGCCACTTCCGTGGAGTGACGTGCACATCCCCAAAGACTGGCACCTCTCTGCGAATCGGTGCCCATGCCGCCGGTCCCGGTGAGCGGGCGCGCCCGCCTACCCCCAGACCTCATAGACGACTGGAGGTACGCCATTGACTCGCCACTATGTGATACGTGGCTCTGCGACGAGCACGACATCCGGCGTAGTCTTACTTCACCGGCCGTCCACTGAGCCCGCGGCGCGCGCGCTCTGACCGCCGCGCACGCCCTCCGAGCCCGCCCTAGCTGCGCGGGCGCATGCTGGTTTGTGGCCTCACTCCAACGACGTCGTCGTCCCCGTCTCCGTCCCCGCCACCACCCGAGCCAATGACAGCCAAGGAGGATGAGGACCTCATGAGGCAGGTGTTGGAGGACTCCCTCCACACCCACAACGAGCACCAATGGCAGGGCCTCGAGGAGATGATGGCCCTATCAGCGGCCAACGACGTCGCCTTTCCCAAGCTCGACACCTACGTCAAGGAGGAGGCCATGGAGAATGTGCGGGCAGAGGAGCCGAGGGAGGAGCCGACGGGATAGAACCCGTCCTTGGTCGGGCAGTCCTGGACGTGGACGGAGACCGTGTCATGCACGCCGACCGTGGACGCCTGCCCGTGGTCACCTTCCCCACCACGGGAAGAGGTTGCGCAGACGCCACCGCAGCCGGCACAGCAGACACCTCCGGCGTGGCAGGGGCCGCCAGCCCACCTCTGGCAGGCACCTCCGTACGTCGACTTCACCGGCGGCGACAACGACGAGTAGGACAATGGCTACAAAAGACGATGGCGGCGGCGACGGCCCTTATCTAGTTTTTAAATGTTTTTTAAGTTTATATTTAAATTAATGTGATGAACTTGCCTATCGTGGACGTCTTAATGTTTATATTATTTTCATTGTTAATTTCAGATCTTTATTGTGTTAAATTTCTAGTCCGAATAAACGAAGAGTTCGAGACGTGGCGGACCAGTTGGGCGCACCGATGGCTGCACGGCCGCAAGTGGACGTGCATGTCCATTTGCCACCCCCAAATGGATGAAATCCTGACAAAACGGACGTTCGTCTCGGGTCGTGCGTTGGAGTTGGCCTAAGATGACATGCATCCGTAGGGCTTAAATTTCATGCATAACTTTATATGTTTCAACATTCTGATGATTCAGCGAACCAACCTGTGGTTGAGATGGTTAGGTGGACAGTGGTATCCCCAATCCACCAGGGTTTAAATCCGGGTGCTCGCGTTATTCCTGGATTTATTTCAGGATTTCCGGCGATGCGCTTTCAGTCGGAGGAGACGTTCCCGTCGACAACGAGGCGCCTACGGTGACTTCGTAAATCTTAAGATGATATACCGGCTCAGTCTCTTGGAGGTGCTCATAGGGGTAGGATGTACGTGTGTGCTTTCATAGAGATGAGTGTATGCGCGTATATATGAGCGTTTGTGTTTGTACCGATGCTAAAAAAAACATTCTGATGATTCGGAGTGAACGCTCTTATGTCCTTTCAATCGTGCCACGCAGATCTTGATGCCCACTGGTTGCCACATCATCTCGCCGGAACCATTCGCTCCTTATAACGAACCACGGGAACGTCTCCCTTTTATCCACCTCTAACCCACTCGCCCAACTGTGCCTCTTATCCATTTCTCTAGAGTGAGTTCTTTTTTTAGGGATTTCTAGAGTGAGTGAGAGGAGGACTTAGAGCATTTACGACCCTCCTCAAATGCTGGGACGTCCGTCCAGTCATTGATCGATCACGAAATTTTGACCTAGTTGGTCGTATCCAATGTATTGGAGTTATGTCGAATATTGTATACAAGATAGTTTACAGTTGGTCTTGTAGTTGTATTGTGTTTAGATACAATACGGAGTCGTGTCCAAGTAGGACACTTGTATCCTAGGCCTCTCATATATAGTGAGGATAGACACACGATGTAACTTATGCCAACATAATAGCACAGACGCGCAAGGGGGAGCCGGCGGCGTGTGCCGGCGCCCGGGTGGCCGGTGTGCGGTATTGTGACGGTGTCACGGGGAGGAGCGCCCGTAGTCAAGCCCTGGGAATGTAGCCATATCGGTGAACCTCGTTAACAAATCTCGGTGTTGTGCTCGTGTGATTGCTTGGTCCTCGGATGATCAACGGTATGTCTCGGATTTATTCTAACAAGTGGTATCATGAGCTAGGTTCTTCGGAGGGGTCGCTGGTTGTTGATCGAGAGAAAAACTTGATTTTAGATCGGTATCGTGAAGGCAATACGTGTTGGCACGGTTGAGATCGATCGGAAGAAGTCAAGCGAACAACAATGTCAGCGAGTTTTGGTAGTAACCGGATCGGATGGATCGATCCGCTTGAGCGGCGGCGGCGTAACACCTGCAGAAGAGCGACGCTTGGAAGCGGTCTTGAAGGAGCGCGGGGCTGGCCAAGCCCTGTGCGAGGCCCAGGTGGCGTGCTCGGGCCGGGCAGGCCGAAGGCAGCGTGCATGGACAGGTTGTGCTCGTGAACATACAACTCGCATCGTACAGCAAGGAAGGCATCGTGGCAGATTTGTTTTGGACAAAAATAAAAGGGACCGAGTCCCGGGTGGAGATGCGTTCTCCTTGTTCCGAGCCAAACTAGTGCAGCAACAAGGCAGCTCCTTTGTGTACGGGAAATTCCACCGTGCCACACGTCCGTTGGAAATAGCTAAGGCATTGGCAGCAATTGCTAGCATATGGAGTTGAGTCAGATACGAGCCAAATTTACGTTGAAGACCAACTTGTTTTGGATTTGCTATTAGAACATGAGGGTATGCCATGTTTAGGTATTGCTCATGTACTTGGGCATCACGTGAAAATAAGCTCGGTTATTTTTTCATTGGATCAGTCATACAAAGAACCATGAGGTCTACGGATACTAGGTTTGAGGTGGAGAAGTTCAACGGGACTGGAAACCTTGGGTTATGGCAGACAAGGACGAAAAATATGTTCGCACAACATGGATGCTTGAAGGCGTTGCGAGAAGTCAGTTCAGCTAAGATGGAATTATCATGTGGTGGATGGAAATTCTTGGAAGACGATTTAGGAGCCTCGAGCGTGTTATGCAGTCTAAATAGTTCGGCTGGGTTGGACTGGACAGTCTGACGGGATCGACGCTAGTCGGTTGGTACAGAAGATGGTGGTGGAATCGGCGACGACGACATAGGAGCGTGATGCTGATGGTGACCGACTTCTGGGCGTGGAAACACGTGGCGCAGGCCCGAGGGCTTGTGTGGCTTCGACAAGACTATGGCGCGGGGTTGATTCAAGGTGATGTGCACACTAAGCTTGAAGTCGACGGGGCGCGAGGGTGGACTGGTCATCTACTGGAGTCATGTTGAAGGTGGAGCTGGATTGAGGGGCTACGATGTAAGGATCTAGGGAATCGAAGCCTATTCAGCAAGGGGGGAAAGCGAGGGACACATAATTCGGACTGGAGCCCAGTGGTCTGATGGAAGCGTGAAACTCGTCATCGGTCGGTGATGATCGATGGTACTCTGCAGTGGAGGTTGAGTGGTGTGGGTTTGCGACCCTTGAGACTCGACCAGGACAGTGGAGGCTCGACGCGGTAATAGCAGCAATGTGTGCGGTATGCGCGGGACATGAAGATGGGCCAGGGCTCTGGTGGTCATACATGTGGTGAGACAACTGCGAATTTGACTTGGGATGATTACAACAACGGTGAAATTTCTTCAAGTTTTAGACAGGCGATCAAGAAAGGAGCAGTGATTTTGAGTTCAGGTAACTCTTATGTGTGTCACCCAACATGTGAGTTGTTCACTTTCACACAGGTCAGTGATCAGTGTGTGATGGCGTTGGACGGACACTCTGAAAGTTGGGAGCACAAACTAGAGTAACAAGGAACTTAATTTTGCTCGAGTGTTGACTGTGGTCAAGAAAGAAGGGACTACAAGTTGCTGGTGGAGTCATATGGAGTCTTTGGAGTAGCAGCGGTACTCATGGGATAAGCTCAAGTCCAATGTACATGGAAGTTTGACGCATTGACAAATTCAAGGAGGTGGAGAATATTCGCCAAGGTGGAGTTTGTTGGGGTTGTGTCGAATATTGTGTACAAGGTAGGTTACAGTTGGTCTTATAGTTGTATTGTGTTTAGATAG